CCTGCGATGTAGCTGAGGCTCCGTGGGCAGTGTCATCTGAACCTCCTACTGCAGGAGAAGTTCGTTCTTGTATCCAAGCCCGGAAGAAAGGAAAAGCAGCAGGGCCAGAAGGGCTCTCTCCCACTCTTTTCAAGATGGGGGGCGATGACCTTGTAGACTCCATTACTGATCTAATGCACAACATTTAATGCGTAACATTTAGTTACACGAGCGCATTCCATCATCCTGGAGCGAACCACTGATCGTTCCAATTTTTAAGAAGGGATCTCGCAACGACTGCGCAAACCACTGTGGAAGAAGTTTGATTCCAATCGTTACGAAGTTACTAACCTCTATTATACCTCGACGTCTGACACCGTTTAGGGAGACAAACATCCGTGAACAGCAATCAGGATTTCTGACCAGGTCGCGGTCGTATCGGCCAAATCTTCACTCCGCGTCTAGTCCTCGAGCTACGCCATAAGCAACGACGACCAACGGTTGTCGCGTTCCTTGACCTAAAGGGAGCATTCGACTCAGTTGATGGTGAATCTCTTATGGGTTCACTCCTTCGCAGAGGAATGCCGTGGAAGTATGTGAACATTCTGAGTTCATTGTACTCACATATCGCATGGTTGGAGACACTGGTCAAGGCTGCGAACCGACGGCAATGGCGATCAGGTTGTTACTTCTTATCAGTCCAGAATGCTTGGACTACTATGTATGCACAGTGTGTTGACCACAGAGGTTCGCTTTCTTTCCCCCTTCCTAACAATAGGCTCAATCCGTCCTCCTTACACATTCTCACTTATCTTGTATGCATTATGAGTTTGGCAGCGATCAGTGAAGTTCGCTTCACTGTAATACGCTGTACAATGATGATGATGATAACAGGGATTCGGATCCTACCTATAGGACTATATTACTGAACCGTCTAGGGATAATTGTAGTACCTGAAAGCACATATTGAACCATAATTGAGGACCTACTCATACCTGTGACATGCGGCTAAGTTGTTCTTCTCCCCGTTTTTTATGTCAAGAATAGTTTGTCTGGTAATAGTCCTAGATTTTTAAATTACAGTTATAAACGACCATAATTTATGGCTCAGATAAGGCTTCTAGAAACAAGTTGAAAGCGAAACAAATATTACTAAATCAAACAATAGCGTTGTTCATCATCTAAAACTTGCAATACGATTTACTGAATGGAGGAAGAACAAACCAAAACAAAAATAAATATGGTCAATGGTGGTAAGAAAATGATCGGATTAAGATGAACAAACAATACCTCTTCAGGATCATCCATTTTGTAAGCTATTTTGCCTATGGCGTCTCCAAAGTTTCGAAACATCTTCTTAGCCGATGCACCTGATAATAGCTGAGTATTTGTCGCCCGGGGAAGATCTCCTTGTTGTGTCAGAAACGCTCGTAAGTCTTCGTCGTCTCGAAGGATAGGATGAGAGAGCACTCGATACAGAAAGCTGAAAAGAATTAAAAGTTACAGAAGAAAACAACCCAACCGTGTAAGTGCTATTCTTCGGCGTTCGACGAATTCGCTTTCAATCGTGGCGTCTTTAGACATTTTCACTTTTGTTGTACCTTTAAAACAATGAAGGAAATTCAAATAACCCTACCTACCTAAGACATCTTTTTCTGGAGCAGGTGGAATAATAATCCCATTAGATAAATGTCTTTCACATAACTTTGCATGAAGACCGAGGAAATCTGAGAATCTTCTGGACACAAAAGACTCCTGTCCTTCGAATGGCGGTGCTATTCCCTAAAATACAGAGCAATTGGAACAGGCACAGGGTAGATTACCTTGAAATGCACTTCATAAACTATGTGAGCTGACATACCCTCGCCAACTTTAGACGGATTTGAAACCTCAACAGTAAATGGTCCCTAACATTTCGAGTTTCAATAGTAAAAGCGATTATACTAACTTTTCCATCATCCATAGGATGAAGTAAAACTGAGCTGTCATACGAACCACGAAAAACGTTGGAATCATGGTTATTGGCATCGTATTGTTTATTTGAAAATTTCATCTTGCATTTGTCGCTTTCCTATCATTCATTATTCATGATAAATCTAAAAATACCCCCTGCTCCGTAATCGTAGCTTCCATCATAGTTGTGTCAGCCGTCCGGAATGTGGTTCCAATTCAGTCTTGAAGTGACTCTCGGGTTCGAGGCTGGCGCCCAATGGTCCCGGATTCAGTCCAATCAGTTCTGTTCCAATCCAATCCAATCCAATCTTCCAGTACGTAGAGGCCTCGGCCTTATGGTTGTCTTGATTCTGGCTCAATCTCGTCGGTAGACCGATTGAGCCGTATGTTTCTCCGGCTTGCAGCACGGTTGATAATTCCGCGACCGTCCGAAGATGTGCGATTCGGATGTAGTAGGAGTCTCGTCTGTTATTGGTAAGGCTGAAAAAGAAAGCGAACATGCTGTCTTCTCGCCGTGTCGGTGAGAGACTTACGTACACTTAATCTTAAGCGTTCCTGCGTGTGCATGCTGAGCATGCGCATCACGTTGTCAAACGTGGGGGTGGGGAGAATAAAAGAGAGAGCTTATTTCCCTTCTGTTTAGGTCACTTCTGGAAAGGTTTCGGCCCATACTCTATCTAATTCCATTTAAAGGCTTGCACTGTGGTCAGCTGAACGAGTCTTCCGGGGAGGCGATTCCAGAAGTTGACCACCCTGTTGGTAAAGAAATGTTTCCTCACATCCAACCTACTTCTATTATTTTCTAGGTGACATTCATGGCCTCTTAGGTCTCTCGCGGATCTCAGAGGTAGGAGGCCTAGATCGGCATTCTTCATTTGTCTGAAGAATTCGCTCATGTCTTCTCTTAAACGCATAGAGAAGAGGTCCAGGTGCCGAAGCCGGTCTTCGTAGGATAGCCCTTTGGTTTTGCGAACCAGTCTAGTTGCTAACCGTTGCACTTTATCTAACCTGTCTACGTCCATTACTCGGTCGGGAGCCCAAACTCGGACGCAGTATTCTAGGTGGGGTCTGACGAGTGCCCTATACAGAGGGATGAATACATTGGCTTCTCTGCTGGTTATTGCAGCTCTGAGTGCAAAGAGCGCTCTCCTGGCCTTGTGGGCTGCTTCGGCGCATTGTTCTCTAGGTGTAAAGCTGGCAGGGACTGTAATCTCAAGATCCTTGGCACACCTCTCTTGTTTTAGAGTATGAGCTACTTGATTTGGGAGCGTAAGCCGCAGGGGGTGCTCCGGAGCATTTTTGCTTAGAACAACATTTGGTTGCGTTCAGAAGCAGGTCCCATCTTACCACCCACACTGAGAGCCTGTCTAAGTCGTCTTATATTGGTTGACAACTGGACGAGCCGCCAACTATTTTGACGTCGTCGGCGTAGATGAGGCATGGATTTGCGACCTCCTGGACCAGGTCGTTGATAAATATTCGGAAGAGGAGTGGTCCTATTATTGACCCCTGGGGGACTCCACTGGTCGCTTTCCCTTCACTGGAAATCGTAGATCGTATTTTCACCTGGTATGTACGGTCGTGGAGTAAACTGGCTATCCAGTTACATACCTGGGTTGGAGCCCCTGTACCCCTTAATTTATGTAGTAACAGCATGTGGTTAACGGTGTCGAAAGCCTTTTGGAAGTCTAGGTAGCAGACTCCGACTTTTTCTCCTTTGTCTAACCTGCTGGTTACTTCGTCTAGAAATACTAAGAGGTTGGCCAGACAGGACTGATTCTTGAGGAATCTGTGCTATGCTTTCGAAAAGAAGTGCATGCCTATTAGGTGCTCTGCTAGTTTTTTCTTATTATCCGCTCCATCGCTTTGGAAACGATGCTAGTTAAGCTGATTGGTCGATAGTTTTCTACGTTGGCCGCATCCCCTTTCTTGTGGATGGGGGCAATCGTAGCCCTGCGCCAGTCGGCTGGGACTATGCCTGTTGACAGTGACTGATTGAACAGTGATGTTAACGGTTCAGTGATTACCGGTGCCAGTGGTTTTAACACCGCTGGGTGCAGGTTGTCTGGCGGATTTCGTCGGGTTGAGTCAGGAGATCACAGATAGGACCTCGTCGTGCTCTATGATCCAGCTAGGGCTGCATGGGTCTGCAATCAGTTCAGGTCAGGTTGCACAGGACTGAAAATGGCCACGGCCAATCGAGTGTCCAGAATTCCTTCGATGGTATGATCAGTGAGTGGGCACCCAGCACTGCTGAAATGAAAATGAGAAATAG